AGAAAAGCCGGCTTACCAGAATCCGAGGGGAGCGGAGCCGATGATAAGGCCGTGGACGACGACGGATGAGCATATTTACGGCATATCTTTTGAACACAGTCATGTGAAGCCTCTGGTATCGCTAATTGGCCACTGTAGTTCCAGAACAGCTGCCAACAGACACACACAGACCAACCCGTGTAAAAAAACGAAGTAACAGCACGCACGGATCATGACAGCGGAGGAATATTACGCACTAAAATGGAAAGTCGCGCAGGCTGAGGCTCCTCACGTAGTAACGCGCAATAACGTGCTTCACCCGCAATCGTCCACATGCTCCACCCGCAATCTCCCATGTATCCCATACATTTCAGCAAATGCTTGCATATAACCGTGCAATGACACACCCACGTTTTTGCGGAACAGCACTCTAAAGTGTAAATGCCTGGGGATGCAACCGCGCTTGTTTACGCTTAACCGCATAATGACACGCCCACACCATGGGTAATAGTGCGTAACAATGCGATGCGCAGTAAAACACTGTGAAATAATGAGGCTATGCCTGAGTTTGCGCGCATTGTTTCACAATGGGAAGTACTGTAACCCTCGCTGTGCAAGTGCGCCGAGGGTTAATGAAATATGTGCACCTACCCATTTCTGAAATTTGTTTGCCGGAAAATACAACATAACTCCATGAGATACACGACAAGTCGGGTGTGTATCTAAAATTTACAACTGTCTTTGGCTGGACCTATACATTTTTCTCTAATGAAATTTTGTGTTGCTCTGTTAGATTTCATACAGTGCATATGAGCTAGAACCGTAATAGAAAAAAGAAATCAACCAACGACCCCTAACAGATTGCGCATTGGTGAGCAGGCCTACCTTGTCCGCTCCGTGGGAGATCCTGTTTCGTTTACACCACCAGAGGCAATATACTCCAACAAAGGCATTGCTTGTACCAGTAAATTCTCCTTGTCGTCACTGTCAGGGGATCCTCCTGCTGCACGCAAGCCATCAACACGTTTACTTCCGCCTTGCGCATGCGCCTTATGTTGAAAACGAGCTCGATATAGTGCCTCATGCAGAGTACAGTAGGAGTTACTAGTTGAAGAAATATTATTATACAACCAAGGAGTGTATAACGATAACCAACAAAATATGAGTGCATGATGGATTTAAAGGGATGACACAGAGCGGGCGCCTACCATGTGAACAAAAACGCATTGATACAAGACAAAGGACAAAGCAGCAGAGTGGATATAGAGATAAAGAACCGACAGCAGATACAAAAGGAACAATAGAACAAAGATGTGGCTAGTGCGCAAATAGTAGGCCTTTCCACAAAACATAGTGACAAGAAATGATGGGTTACACATTACACAACAAAACAATTAACCAAATCGAAAATACATTACTGTAAAGAGTTCTCTTCCAACATTTGATACAAACAGATGTGGGCTTGGACAAATCCCACACTCGACATGGAAACAAGAGTAGGAAATGCAAGCCGTAACAAGCTGTCAGACTAAATCCTAAGTGCTTCATTCTGTGGCGTAGAGAGTGGATTTAGTGTGTTAGGTATAGATGTTCCTTCACAGTCATCTTGAGTGTCAGCAGGCCCATACAATTCCTTATAAAGAAATATGTTGAAGAGAAACAAAACTTTGGTGGTAGGGTTTTTTGCCTACGTATACATTGCTGGGGTCACTGCAATTTTAATGAAAAGCACTGAAGTGCAAACCCTCGGCGAACTGCGCATGCGCGATACTAGCTAATTGATGGGCTGGGCTATTTGTATGTGTTACTCGTGGAGTCGTGGTCTCCAGCTAGTAGCTCGCGGAGAGTATGACACGGGCTAGCTACAATAGTAGATAGCATGCGGGAGTCAATACATGCCATTCGTTGTGACTTCTTGAGCGCCCAAGGTACACAGAGCGAGCAGATCAGGTCGCGGTAAACCCAGTGAGATTAGGCAGTTGGCTTTTTCGCTTGTTTTCACGGCATATCTCTCGAACGCAGTCGTTTCAGGAAAATCGCCACAAAATTTCTGACCTTCATTGCCCGTTAAGTAAGTAGAATAGTGTGAGACGAAAAAACATTGGAGAAGTAAGATGTTGAGTAACAGACACACAGAAGGACAGACAGACAGACACAACTACTGTAACCCTCGCTGCGCATGCGCGCCAAGGGTTAATAATGGTTCCAGCATTCACAGGTATAGTCTCGTGCTCAGACCCCACACATGGAAAGGGGCCTGGTAACTACTTTTTGGTGGTAGATCTTGAAGAATGGCCAATTAACATCACGTAGATCCATGATCTACAGGGCAGGGCCTTGTATGGACCCCAGCGGAGTAGTTCGGATACTGATGCCTCTATATAGGTCCAGGACGCTCATTCTTTGAGGATTGAGCTGCTGGGTATGAAGACTAACAGGCAGGGAACACACGTTCGTAAAGGTTGTACCACAGAAGCCCTATAAATGAAAGGCACCGCACGTAGTGTATGTGCACGAAGACAACTTATTAGTATGCGTGCCATGATGTATGGTGTGCTGACTCAGCCATACACTCACATGTGGGGTGTATGGCACACCATACTCCATGGCAAATATACTTATAAGAATCAGCAAAATGTACAGAGAGGGTCTACCAGTGAGGCACACCAGTATAAACACATTACATAGAACCAAAGTGATAATTGATGTAACTCCGCTACAACCAGAAAATGATACATTGGGGAGAGCATGAGGTGGAGCAGAAGTAGGCTCGCTTTTGATGACTTTTGTAGGAGGCTTATTTTCTTTCTCCAGGCTTTCAGTAGAAGTGCAGAAAGCAATACAGCACTCTTCTCTCTGTTCAATACACTTGAAACCACAGCCTGTTGCTCTGCTGATGAACGCTTATAGATTCGCACCCCATCGGTTGACCGATGTCCTGTTCTTTCCATGATTAATTGCTCCTCAGTTCCACTCTGAAAAATCCGGGTTGCACTGATAACTCCAAGAGAATGGTTGGCTTTATACCCATCAACCCCACCTTTAATGCACAGCCGTTTAATAGTGTTAGAAAGGGAATTAACACCAATAGCTTGCTTTTTATACCATACTACTCCATTTGGGTTAGGAATAGGAGCGAGATAAAAAGCATCAATCTTGATATCTCGAGGGCGATGCAAACGATATTGCTTGTACAATTCAACAAAACAGCGTTTGGGCCACCCGGTATTAGCATAATGACAGACACGCTTAGCGTCAACCTTCCTGTGTCCTAGTCCCCCAGGGTTATTCTTCGATACATTCTCGGTGTAAACAAGGTGAGGCACATTTCCAGGTTTCTCGACTAATTCAACATCGCTGAAACACAACCTCCGATGCTCGTCCCCACTCCTCAATGCCAAATATAGCCCCGCCATATACAGCGTAGTATCCACCAAAACTTGAGGGGAGTGGCTACCCAGCAAGCCCTTTTCCCATAACATATCTTCTTCAGCATCTAAAATAGGCTCATCTCTCTTCGGCCCTTTCCTACCACCCGAGAGCTTTTTCAACCTCTTCATTTCAGCATCAAGAGTTTTCTGAAAAGAGGTGAACTTGGGATCTTTATTGAAAGGTTAAACTCTCTAATGTGTCACAGAACCCCACAACAGAGTTGATGCAAGCTATTAGGGGGATAAACATTACCGTCTTTGCGACGAGCCTCTAACACAAAGCAGCTCAACCATTTGTTTAACTCTTCAGGTTGCATGGTAAGCAAATAAGATGGAAAATCCTGTGGATTTTTCGCCTTTCGGTAGCTGACCCACTCCGTCCAAACGTTCATAGCCCAATTAGTATTTTTCTTCGTGTTATCAGCAACGGCTGCCTTCTGGAGATTTTAAATATCACTTTCTGTTACCGTTGGACCGAAACGTTGGCCGCCAGATGCCTCCACAGACTGAGTAACTGAGCCCGGAGTATCCGCCCCGCTCGGACCAGGCGCTTCGCTCACGATGTCCACGAACAGCGCTGAGAACTAAAAATCGCCAGGCAGCGGAACCTGAGAAAATAGTTGGTCGACTTCGGGGAGATCGTTCGCACCAGGATCGAAGATAGACTGCGTAAGAAGGTCGAAGAGCCCGTCCGCGAGCCCGTCCGCCATGCTTGCGGTCAACTGTGCAAACCGATTTTACCCGCGCATTCCTGTTGTACAAACCGGTTACACTACGCCCACTCGACGGTTTAGTGGACATACACTACGAGTGCGCAGCACGAGTAGTGTATGTCCACTAAACCGTCTCGTGGGTGTAGTGTAACCTCTATGTACACCATGTATGGATATGCATTGGATGTTACACTAATCAAACTTACACAATATTTAGCAAAGCCAAATAATTTCATCTGAAAGTTTACCAAAGGCTCCTCCATGATCCCTTTAACTGTAGAAGGGTCATTCCCGTGGTACAGAGTTTAAGAGGACTTTGATTTCCAGCACTACGCACGTGTAACGTCGGTGGAGGAAGCGTTTGTTCAGCCCACTTGCATTCGATGTGGTGTCCGCTACGACGAAGGGGCTCCTGGCAACATAAAGCAGGTTTGACCCCAGGTGATGGTGGATATAGAACTCACGAAATATGTCAAGGTGTTGATTAATTTGAGGCACGAAAATGTGACGAGGTGTAAACAAATCGATTTTGTTTGAATGGTCAAGCATTCCTTCCTCCTCCATTTGATAGAAGAGATCATAAATACATCCAATAAAAATGTCCCTCCAGAGGTGCTCAATATGCCGATTATGCACACTTCTCCCGGTTATTCAGCTTCGACGGCCAGTCCACCTCTTGGATGGCTCAGCCAGAACTGCGAGACTCTCTAACCAACATAATGGCCGAGTTTCTCTAAAAGATCTGTCTCAACCTCGGCTGCATGACTTCTGTGTTAAAAAGTTGGCTTGCTCCACATTACTTCTAGTTTATGTAAATTTGTAAAAAGGTTGAGTTATGTAATCATAGGTTTCTTGCATTGTGTTTTTCATCTCTTCCAGGACAGCTGCAGCCATTAGGACTGCTTCCATGACTTGTGTGCAGGCACTTCTCCAAGGGGAGTTGCTGTCTTCTGACCAGCTGTCTGCAATGCTGGAGGATCTCCTTCCCAAAGTTAGAACTTCTTTGTATCGTTGTGACACTGGTCATGTGTATAAACGTGTATGAATGGTAACAAGCCAACCCGAGTGAATCACAGGGTGTAAGCACAAGGGAAGTGCAAACCTATGGCTGGTAAGGTACGAACCCACAACACTGTGTTCTCTAGACTAATGCTCTACCTCACGCGTGTTTCTGTAATACATTTTGTGGCCACTGAATTGTATCTACAATTTTTCATTACGTAAACGGCCACGTGGTTCATGAATATTCATTATATACTCTGAGCACTTCTGACAGCTGGGCTAAGCATTCTACGTGTAACGTTGGTGGAGGAGGCGTTTGTTCAGCCCACTTGCATTCGATGTGGTATCTGCTGCCCTTCTCTACGACGAAGGATATATCACCATTGTGCTACCTAGCTCACTGAGCTTCTCTGTGCTGATCATGTTGAGGTCGTAGATACTATAGGACAAGGGCAGACAAGGACCTTTGACGACAGAAGATTGTCTCTTACACATGTAGCACAGGTGTGGTGAGTGCACGGAAGTTCAATGGGATTGTCCAACATTTTATTACAATGCTGACATGCCACTTCACTTCCCATGTCTTTCTCCAGCTCCATTAGGCTAAGTACTGGTGGAGGCAAGTGGGTTGCAATTGTATCAATGTGGTCCACTAGCTGGTTGATGGATGTGCCCTTTGGTCGACCGGTTTGTGTATTTCTTTGTGGGTCGCCCCCCGGTCTTGTGTGAGGCAAGTCTGTCAGAAGTGCGAGGGAATGGCAGTCGTGGAGCTGGTGCAAGGATCTATACCAAAAGCCATCACTGGTGGTCCCTGCAGCTATACTTCTTGTGTTTCTGTTTAAAGAACCCTCCACACACCCTGCACAGTCAGGGGTTCCTCAAGGGTTAAATATTTACTAGCCACTTTTACTAGATCCTTTAAAATATAGTAGCCAAGTTTAACGGTCTTTCATAGAACACCATACAATAAATGCCCTGGAAAAGTTAGTCATCCATAAGGGCTATCTGGAGTGTCAATGGAGATTTTCATTCACGTTTTTTCTGAAGCCTTGCTCGAATGCGGGTTTTGATTAGGTTATGTTTACTGAATCCTCGCTCACAATCAACTGTTGACACTGGCTAGTGTGATCAACTTGGGTATTGACACATTGTGGCCTCTGATTGATACACCCTCTGGAGAGAGTTTGCAGTGAGCATGATCGACAATTCTGGCTCATGAACTGCTTAAATACAACCCATTCATCCTTTGTCTGGTGTATGTCAATCACTGGCTGTATCTCAACACCACTCTCGGCTACCTTCAGAACACAGTTTATCTAGCTCAGTGTCACCATACGTAGCTAAATCGACTTCTGAAGGTAACCTCTGTGGATCAAATATGGCAAAAGAACTGAGCGAATTATTGTCAGGAAAACGTGAATTTAGATTTTCTTTTGTCAATGAATGTATCTTTGGTTTTATTGAACTTATCATGTTGTGCAGAACTGTCAGTAATGCGTTGATCATTGCATTAAGCTACTCACTCAAATATTTAAGAAGCCTTGGCCCAGGTGAATTCTTAAATCTCTGGATTCCCTGAATTGTAGCTTGTAGACAGTCATTGACTCCAGCGGCAAAGGAAGCCAAACTGGGAACCTGCAGCTCTGGAGATGCTTCTTCTGGTGAGCGGAGATGTTATATGCCAACCTGGAAGAATGATTTTCCACCGGCTGCATCCCTAACAGGGCTGCCAGTGTTTGCACCAAGCACCACGGTGGCGTCCACCTCCACCACGATGGCCACCTCTGCAAACTTAACCTCCCCAGCCCTTGCTGCACTACTTCCCATCCCAAAGCCCACAGGGGAGGGTGCTGTTGTCCTCTCATCGGCCCTTCCACCAATCAGTGCTAAGCTGGCACAAATATCAGGTCGCGGCAATATGTTGCCATGAAGGAGCTGCTCTCGGACAACATGGCCCTACAAAGCCAGCTGGAAGAGCTACCAGCACAGACTGCTCTAGCAGCCCGCCCCCATCACCTGCGAGAAATCGAGTCACCATTGTCATGGGCCTTTTGCTTCCTGATGTACATTGCAGTCCGCACCGGCGACAAGGAGACCAGGGACATGTTGGCATATGCGAGACTGGTCATCCAGGAGGCCCAGTGTCGTGGCAGGACTGGCTGGTTTGAATATGACAAGTGGTTTCGTCGGCAGCAGGCAGCTCTGTCAACCCCACAGCCTTGGAACGAGCTCATGGTACCTGTCCATCCGGTCGACCACTGCCTGCTGGGTGTCCGCTGGGGTGAGGATGTGTTTGTTGTCCCCTTTGGTCTTAGATCCGCCCCCAACATTTTTTTCGCTGTGTCCGATTGTCTAGCATGGATCTTACAAGCGAGGGGGGTTACCCACCAGCTTCACTATCTGGATGACTTTCTGCTGGTTGGGCCGCCAGACACGTCAGCCTGCGCCCAGGCACTGCAATTCACCCTGGATACATGTCAGGAGCTGGGATTACCAGTCTCTTCCCACAAAACAGAAGGGCCAAGCTGCCAGTTAACATTGCTGGCCATCCAGATAGATACCACCCGCATGGAGCTGAGCCTCCCCCCAGACAAGCTAGCATGCATCTCAGCAACAGTGTGTGAGTGGAGAGGCAGGAAGGCCGCGACGAAAAGTTCAGCTACAGTCCCTCATACAGGGCTCAATAACAAAATTTTCTTGAGGGTCTTAGTGGGGGGTCTAATATGGAAATCTGGGGGTCTCTGAAGTGTCTCAAGGGTCAAGATAAAAATGTATCAGTACAACAGTCAAAATGAAATAAAGCATGAAAGAGTATATACAAAGACAGAATGATGACGTAGTTATTTCCTTCTTTGCTTTGCTGTGCAGAAATTTAAGGCTGCCTGTCTAACATCAAATTCCTCTATTTGTGGACCCTCCAGTCTTACCCGAATGAGTTTCTCTAATACACCTTCCGATAGACTTGCTCGGTGTTTGGTCTTGACTAGATTCTGTGCCGAAAAGGCTCTCTCACAAGAGACTAATGTTACAAGACTAACACTAAGTATCTGTGCTAATGTAGCAAATCAGGGAAAGCCTCTGTGTGCACAAGCTGCTGAGGACTTGTTCGTGTGATTTATTCGAAGGTGATTTCAAAAAATGCTTGAATTGTAAATAGTCATTCTTTGTGCGATCAGGGTCAATTAAGTTAGGAACTGTATCATCTTCAGCTTGTTGACTCTTTCCATATATAGAAGTCGAGTACGTGTGTTAGTGAGTCTTCCCCATACACTGGTAATCCTCGAGTTGTAGTATCCAAACGAGTTGGGTTAAGTATTAGATCTAAATGTTCTAGAATACATAGAGACTCCGCATCAAACCGTTTGTGAAGGTTCGATTCTAGCTTATGTAAGTAGTTCTCCTTTTCTTTTGCAAATGATGTTCGCAAGTTCTCAGTATTACGTATGGTAATGTTCCTGTAAGTTGTTTTATCACCCACTTCTTCACAGACCTTTTTAAGTACAGGTCCATTCGCAGCCTTGTAGGTTCCAGTACTGCTAGTGTGCACTCTAGTGTACATACATCAATATTTTCTTCCTGGAAAATCTTTCTTACAGATTCCAACAGTAGTGCAGTAGTAAGCACAAACTTCACAGACTGAACTTTGTGTAACAAGCCCTTTGCATCAGCAACTCCTTTGGAAGCTGCTTCCTGATCCAACTCCAAGGATACACAGAAAAAACAGCTTTTACAGCTTGGTGCAGTGAAAGCCATCGGAAGCTAGCGGGCTTTTTCAGTGCGATAGTTCGTAGATTCGGGTTATCATCCAGTACACACTGGAGCTCCATGAGAGAATTGTAGCGGACTGCAGAGCTACTGTAGAAGAAGTAAACATGTTTGATAGTACGCTGGAATTCATCAAAATATGGCACTGACTTGAAAGCATTTGCAGCCACTAGGGCAAGGCGATGAGCTACACAGTGAATTTGCACAAGGTGTGGACAGTAGGAAGTACGAAGTCGAGCACCCACACCATTTCTTATGGCAACCGTAACGCTGGCCCTATCACTAGCTAGAGAAGTAATTTTTCCAATGCTGACACCCTTTTCCTTGAGAAATTGTAGAAGGGAATGAACTATGGTTTCAGCCTTTCCGTCAACAATGTCCATATCTCTAGCAAAATGGAGGGAGGGAACACCACTAACTGTATCTACCAAACGGATGTATATAACCAGCTTTTTATAAATAGCAACTTCAGTAGATTCATCAATGACTGAAGCAAGGAATGGTGATGTATGTAGCTTTCTGTCTAAATCCTCCTGAATTGTAGATATATCAATATATTCCAGCTCCAGATGCAACTGATGGCTAGTGAAGTTTGCAGAGATTATTTAGTGGTAGGCAGTTTTTCACAACACAGTACATTGTCTGTAACTGTACTTCAAGCAAGAGATCTCCTTCTGCTGCCCTCTGAGCTTGTTTCTCAGCAAGCTTCTGAAAACCTGCCTCTAATGTAGACTTCTTGCTGATCTTGCATGCCTAAAACAAGAATTGTATGCTCTGGATTCTTAGTTTCATGGCGTGTAAAAGTGAAGATTTGTACTTCCAGTTGCGAAAGGGTTTTCCCTCCATCCCTACACCACTTGCATACCGCCATAACACTACCGTCATCGCTCACTTTCCTTTCCCGCCATGGAAGCTGTTTCTCCCACGTAGGTTGCCATCTGCGAGTAGTTTTGCTTGTGGCAGGCTCAGTCAGTTCTGTCGTACATTCAGGGTCTTCTCTGGAGTGAGCGTGATCGCTCGCGCGTAGTCCGAGGTGTGGATGTGAAATTCCTCCGTAAAGCCATACTGTCTCCTCCGATCCACGTGTGTGCCACGCATACGCGTAAACACGGCGTGTCCGCTCTAGCGCGGTGCGCAATCGTGGTAAAAGTAGAGTACTTCCACGCGCGATCAACGCATCGATTTTCTCGAGCGTCCGCCAAGCCCCGAGGGTACTAATATAGAGGGTCTAGAGTAAATTTCGGGGGTCAGAGGCCCGGTACCTCAGGCTAGTGTGCTCATAGGTACCCTCAGTCATGCAGCCGCAGTTCTGGTCATTTCTGGTCGGGCTTTTCTGAGGTGCATGATTGACACAATGAAAATCCACAGGTGCCAGCACCATGACGTGTGACTCAACCAGGAGAGTTTCAGTCAGACGTCGAGTTGTGGGCGTGCTTCCTCCCAAGCTGGAATGGGAGGTCAATCCTCCCCACACCGCAGGTTGCGCATACTTTTTGGTCAGGCGCATCCAGGTCCTGGGGGTGCGGAGCTCTCAGTCACACCCTAGACTGGTTCTAGCTGCAGTGGTCGGACACCTGGAAACAGCACCACATAGCAGCCAAAGAAATGGTGCCAATAGTAGTCACGGTGGCAGTATGGGGACAAACTTGGAGCTCTTCCACAGTCCTCGCATTTTCAGATAATATGGCAGTGGTCAGTACCATATCCGCAGGACTGGCCCGGATCCGCTCCTCATGCACCTTCTACAGTGCGTACACTTCTTCTGTGCTCACTACGCCATAGTATTGTGAGCCCGACACATAGTGGGGTTCAGAATACCGCGGCATATGCACTATCTAGGGACAAGTGTGATGTCTTTCTGTTTTGTGCTCCACAGGCCCCACTAACACCATTGCACATACCCCAGTCTCTGCTAGACATGCTGCTACTCAGCAAACCCGACTGGACATCCCCCAGGTGGAGGACGCTGTTTCTAGCTACCTTGCAGGAGCTCTCGCCCCAGCAACACTGAGGGTGTATGGCTCTGGTCAGTGCTGCTACATCGCATTTTGTTCAGCAGCGAATCTCTCTCCAATACCACTAGTGGAGCACACACTATGCATGTTCGTGACGTAGAGTAAGCGACCAATAATCGGTCGGACCAATATTCGGACACTTATTTTACACTAACAGGAAAGGTAAAGAGAAGAACTCTGTTTTAGATGGCAGCTGTCCTTCTGCACTTACGTTTCAAGATGGTCGAAAAATGCAGTTTTCGGACAAACCGATTATTTTCGGACTTTGCTCCAACACAAACTTAGAAGCAACTGCACAGATTTTAAACTACATCTACACAATGTCCTATGCTCCTTCTAACTAACTTCATAATCTGCAGCTTGAGTATCGTTCCTTCGCTAACGCTGTTGGTGCGGTGAAGGAAGAGCTAAACGCCATCAATAATCAGACATCACGGCCGCCACCGTACTGCTGTGAAATTCAAGCTATTAGAAATGTGTGGTAGCATTGACAAAATCTATATATCAACGAACTCCAGGAATTTACAGTTTAGGCGAGGGAGCACGGAGTCCATACGAAAAGCGTGACTTTTGCGTGATCTTCGCGCATGCGCATTCACGACAGTCCTGACCTCGCAATTCGGACTAAAAATTACATAGCTCAACATATTTAGTCACTAGTTTACAACTTGACATACATCACACAGCCATCTTTCAGGAAGCTTATTCTTATTGAGGTTCACACCGGACATGTGATACCAGTCTTCACATCCATCACAGCACACCATATTCTCATCATAGTCCTCTGGCATCCGGCATTTGCAGAATATTTTAATATTGTGAACCGTAGGAGAGGGTCTTGGTAATGATTCTTCTTGGAAAGGTTTCAGAACTCCTTGTGACAAGCATTCGTACAGATGGGGTCTCATCTTGGTCTGATCAAATACAGAATATTGTGGATTCCTTCCGAGGCAAACCTCTACAGCATACGCAACTGCAAATACCCCGCATTTTTTTCGACCCTTCTGCTGCTGCACTGACACACTTTTCTATTTCCAAGGTTGAATCTTGAACCCTATAAATCTTGGAAATTTGTAAGATTGTGGAATTTTTAGACTGAGAAAGAGGGACGAACAACAGTTTCTCCTAAAAGAGATTACGTGTAAATATCTGTGCAATGCCACAACGTGATTGCAATTTTTAATTGTGGTGGGCAGCCACACATATAAATAATTAATGCATATAGTGCGCGCACTCATAAATGTCGCGCGGTCAAAATATTTGCACTTTCACTACGGCTAGTATATCCAAATTTTGCTCTATTTACACTTGTAGTCCAACTTCAAACAACCCGGTGCTAGGAATATACGCTGTATTCTCAGCTGTGGGCTGCGGGCTGCACCGGTATCAGTATTGGACAGGAAGTCCTTATCACAACATCTAGCGCTGGGCGTAGTGCAAATTGTCTGGCTTCCAAAGTTTACACAACAGTCCATTAGTAATTAGTGCAGGATGACACAGCAGAAATTCAGCATTGTGATTGGCTAGTTGGACTACAAATCAGTTAACGTCAGGCGTCTTGGCGCATACAGGAAATCCTCCTCGGCTGTACCGCCTCGCCACCTATACGTTGTATAATACGTGACCTAGGGCCAGTTTAAGTATTGACCAATGAGATTGCCGGAAAATTCAGGAAATTTCCGTGCACATCCGTTACGCGATACTTATGAATTATTAATAAAGTGTTCTTCTCGGCGGTATATACCGTGTTTATCCGTGAGAGTTTTGGCTCCAGCGATCAACTCTTCCTACAAAATCTGGCATGGAGAGCCCCGTGGTCCCGTAAGAGAAAGCTGAAAGCGAACATGCAACAAATGCGTGAGGGAAAGCTCGCAAGACCTGACACCTCAACTTCGCACTCGACAGCCATATCCCACGACCTCTGGATCACAAGGCGAGTCTTCTGAGACTCCTTCTTCGTCTTTACAGGATATTGCTGGAATTCACGGGCCCGAAATGTCACTGGAGGAGACGCTAGACGAGTCCGTGCGCGTGTTCAACGCTGTTCAAAAGTAAAAATCACACAGGCGTGTATTTGGATGACTGCATACTCGGTGTGTTTTGTGTTGTTCAGAAGATCTTCTTTGAATCTTTAGCATAATCCTTTATGTACACTCACAGCAATTTTCAGTTGTAAGTCACACATTGTTTTCTTGAAATTTCTCATTATGCGCATGTCATACGATTTCATAAAAATAATTCTAAAAATTCACGGAAGTAAAATCTACTCAAAATCTTCTTTGAACAGGTACACCTATATTAGTCCTTTTTACAAAAAAAGTTTAAGAAAAATTGTAATGAGGATGAGCTTAAAAATTATAAAAAGAGGACTTTTGAAACAAACAATGGTTAATGAGTTTAGGGGGTAGTTGCCATGGAAACTAATTTAGTTAGTATGTTGGTTAGTTACATCTAATGCCTATTCCAAATATGGTAGGTCACATTTTAATTGAGTTACAGCATATCATATCACACACATGCCTTGTGGACATTAATGAGTGCAAGCACTATATGCGCAGGCTGCAGATTACACAGGAAAAGTTTGTAGCAATCTCATACCCATACTTACAGTACGCCTAATGGGTATATCCACATACTATATAGCTATAGTATTATTCCTGTATGGAGAATTTGCACACTTGAACAGTTCTGATCTACTGACTTAAACTTCAGATTGTGGCCCAATATGGTGACTTAGAAACCAGCTACGTGCTGAAACTGCACACTCAGCAATGGTTGGGCAGCATTAATAAGATTATCAGTAAGCTCTTCATTGCTCAGTAGTCTTTTTTTATCATCTTCATATAATTTAAGAGCTTTAATCCACCAGTGCACATCCAGATCAATATCACTCTCTGATACATAGAGAAAAAGAAAATCATCATTTTAAAAAATGAGCGTCCTCGCTCATAATGGCTTCTCTTGATCCTGCAAAATTTATATGTGATTGTGATTTTATGCACTTATCCAAATAAAGAACCCCATGCATGTATACAGTCAGTGTATGCAAAAGACTCGCGTTTCTTTGAACCTCCTTTCCCAGATGCTTCTGTGTCGTGACTGGAGTCTCGGTGCTCGGGTGTTCCCAGCATGCGCTACAGCTACGTCCATTAACAGGCTTAAATTCTGGAAGGCCTAAATACATGAGCACAATACGCACCGGTACAAGAACAATATTATTGCTGTTACACTTACATGTTTTGCTCTTGTCCTTGAGTTTATCAATCTTCCTTTTCTCTCTGATTCTTTTTCTCTCTTCTTTTATCAATGCCGTCGCTTGTTTTTCTGTCTCACATTCTTGCATCTGTTGCATATTCTCAAGACTTGTCAAAACTTTACCAGCTGATTTTCCTCGTTTGGTAGGAAGACTACTTGGTAGATCAGGTTCAACAAGGAATTTGCTAATGGTAGTAGCACAGGGCAGAGGATGTGGGGCAAATATAGACTCGTCCAAGAAGCTAGGTTCTGATCTCGAGTGTGCAAGAGGGGAATCCAAGGAAACTGGACTTGAAAAACGAGAGTGGTACGTATGTATCTCTTCCTTTCGGGTGTAGAGTGAATCGGTATACTGCGCCTATGAAGGGACTCTTGTATGACGAGTAGGACAAGCTGGACTATACAAAGGTATGTATGCTAGGTTGGTTTTCTCAGGAAGGTTGGATGGCTTAAATACAGAAAAACTCATCATCTTCAGGTAAAGATTATTGTATGGACAGATACCTGTTGCTTCAAAGCTGCTGATAATGTTTGCATGCTGAATGCCCTGAATCACGCTTTTGCGAAAAGCTCACAAAAATCGAAACGTGACACGGTTCTTCTTGGATTACGTGCATGGAATTTGTGGCATATATCCCTACACGCCATTTTTAGAGGTGCAAAACACCCTCTATCTAAAGGTGTGCACAACACAGAGGAATGACCTCTGGCAGTTCCTTGCAACGGCTTATTGGAGAAATCCTTCACAATTCTACTTGTTAGCGGAATGCCAGTGCCAGCTGCGCCGCCAGCAGCTATCCTACCCCCCCCCCCCCCACAGACGGTGAGCTCCAAAGAAACACGTGGCCGCAAGTTTGAGCCATGGATGACTGTGGAGAGAAGTTCCTCACGTACTTACCTGACACGCCGGCGAAAAGCGGTAGGTCGGGATTCAGGAGACTTGAGGTGCATAGACAGTTGGTGCCGTGATGAAGTTGAAGCTTGTCTGAAAATGCATTTGCGATAACCACCTCCATATGTGAGGGGGCATGACAAAAGGGACTATATGATGGAATGCGAAAATACGTTTTCACCCTACCACACTTCCGAATTTCTCCATTCCAGCACAGTTTCCCCCTCTCACTAGCATCTACAACATCGACGCATTGCGCTCATTTTTATTATGCAAGTAGTCGTTAAGGATGGCACAGATAAAATGTGTTTTTCTATACTGTTCTACGGTTTTTTGTGGTTTTTTTTTGTTGGTTTTTGGGTTTGTGTGGTGGTTTGGGTGTTTGTTGTTTTGGTTGGTTTTTGTTGGGTTTGGTTGGGGGGTGTGGTTCCTGCAAAATGTGCACCGATAATGGTTCGGCCGATTATGGTCGCTTACTCTCCTGGTATGTGCTTTAAGGAATTCAAATCACTCACTCAGCTACCGTCCTCGGTTGCCCAGCATGACAATTACTAGGCAATTTTCGCACAATCAAAGACCAATGGGCAACAGCAGCAATAGAGACAAGGATTTTGTATGTTTGTGGGGAGCTTGCTGAAGGGTTTTTTAGATTTATGAGGGCCGGAGAATCGTAGTCTCCCAGTGTAAGAATTTGACCGGAACTTCCTGTTGCTTGGGGGGAATGCCGTGGACATAAACAGTCCCTCTGTAGTGCAAGGTGCGGGCTGATGAAGCTGAGTAAAACAGATCCACTTTCACAAGGGGTCTAATTTACTGCTGAGGAACACAGACGGAGTGGTGCCAGTGGTTGCCATTCTGGGCATACGTAGAAGTGGGCCATGGGGTCAGGCGGCCTTTGTTGTGTTCAAGGATGGTTACTTCATCACACGAAACAGGTGGTCTCTGCCATCTAAGGGCTCTAAGTCGCAAGGTATCAATATAAAGGGTGGGTTGCAGGTCACAGTTTTTGGATTGGGGCTGCTCCAAGCAGCCTGGTTGGAGTCGAAGATTCAACCTAAAAATGCTAGGCAGGTTGCAGATAACAGAGATATTCACACACAAAGAGGAGATTAGCGGGAATCTACGCCAGGCTGCGACTCATAGTTGTGTGTTGATGGTCGGTTGCTACTGTGTGTGCTACCATAGAATTCTGAACAAAAATTTGGTTTGGTAGGTGTGTTCAATGCGCTGGTGTTACGTATTGTTGGGGTGGATGGCTGTGTTTAACACAAAAAATAATTATGAATACCACGAGGTGGGTCCCTATGAATACTCCATACTCACAATTTTTAAATTGTGTACGGTCATGTATTATAAGGGACCAACCTCATTAAATGTGTTGACATCCCTGGTTAAATGAGCGTTGGTTAGGTTAATAGGGAGGTGTTGTTGGTCCAGGCCTGACATTGCAAAGCTGTACGAGAGTTAGCGGCGAATGCGTCAGCCAAGGCTGGTAGCCTATAAAAGCTAGAAAAGGGACCGCTATGTGAATTGGCATCAGATCTACCAGGCCTTGTGCAGAGCCAGCAAAATCTCCCTCCCACCCTTGTTTCCCTTGTATTGTCTTATTGTTCTCCAACAGTTATTGGTGTGATCGTTGATGTGGGCTGGATGGGTTTGGTTGTGAGAAAAATTTGCAACCAATACCACAGAGTTGGTAATGGCTTCATCCAGTCCCCATGATATTCCATACCTTACAATTTAATGTTGCAGGGTCATGTTAGAATGTACTGAACCTCTTAAAAAATTCTTGCAGAAGTGGGCTATGGTTTTTTGGTGACCAGTTTTTTTTATTTTGTTTTTTTTTCTAGGGGGGGAAAACTGTAAGTTGTATCTTTGGCTTTGATACACTCTGTAGTTCAGTTGGTTTGCTATGATTATTCCCATGGTGCGCAAAGCACTTGCTAACACTTTTCCGCATGCCCAAAGGTTATTATGTCGTAGCTCTAAATGTATCATTTAGCATTAGATGGTCCGTATCCGGCGTACTACGGACTGTGTGACCACTAGCCTTGGCGAAGGTACGACGGGTCAAGCTGCCGTGTTTATGAATAATAAATTAGCACGCTGTGAACTGAATTTTAAAGTCAGTGGCCGCGCACATTCACGCATGACCTCTGTGCTACCAGGGCAACTCAGCAGACTGGTCTCAAAGTCTGCAACACAGCCCAAGGCAAAGGCAAACCCCAAACACCACATGAACCCAACAGCGAGTAGAATCCATTGCGCTTCAGTAACAGAGAAAGCCCGCGAACAAAGACTAGCTAGAAACACAGTTCACAGGAGGCAGCGACTCACATCAGAGGTGGCTGAGGAGTGGGAAACAGGCCTCTCTTAACGTCGCCATACTCGTGGTTCTGAAAGCGAGGAAGCGCATTTATGTTATTCTCGGTTTGTACCGCTCTCCACAATGCTTAGCATTACACCTAGTACCTAAGTCATGTTTAAAAGCATGAGCAAAGACAAACAAATGGACAACACCCAAGACAACACTTGTTACGATACAAAGGCTGTCCTGGATGGAACCTGAACCGAGAACACTCTGCAGTCAAGGCAGAGTGCATGGAAAATTTAATGTGCATGTAGCTGACTTAGTGTGTCAAACAGAGTACACTAAATGTCATGCTAGAAAGCCAGTCATTACGTATGTGAAGAATACAGCAAAACGTAGCAAGAACTGCTGTATATGAGGCTTTCACGTGTACAGGCATGTGTCATGTAAGGAAAACTGGTTTTCTCGTTGCACATACAGTGAAACCTTCGAAGAAGGGACAGTATAGGGACGGCCTTTGTCCCTTATATGGAGGTTGTCCTCTTCCGGAGGTTCTCACTTTTACACGTTAATATTGCTAAATATGAAGCATTGCTGCAGTTCTAATCAACCAATGATACTTATAAGATCACTACAACACATGTTACATTCAGTTTAGCCCTGAATCTAGTGTAGTTTGTTTTGTTCTTGACACTTTTAAAAATGCCACCTTGTCTATGATCCCAATTTAAAAGCTGCTTCCACATGTCCTTGTTCCAGAAATTGCTGTACCTCTTCAAGCCTTCAAGTGTACCTGGTTCTAGGCAGTTGTAAGTTTTCATCGTCTGCGAAGTAAAAATTCGCTCGCCTTGATCATCATCCTCGGGCTCCTCCTAACCGAGTTGCTCAAAGAAAGAACTCTCCCAGTTGCTGTCATCAAGACCATTACAGACTTGGAGACTTCCCTCACCAGTTATGTATACTTCTACTGGGCATGCTTCATGACCACTCATAGTGGTGCTGATGAAATCTTCAAGTGTGTCACATTCGTCAGCTGCTAAGAATGGGTCCTGCTCATCGCGTGCAACGACGGTTAAATCGGAATCAAGGACACCAGCCTTGCGAAAGCACTTTCGAATCGTTTCCTCTTGAACGAGTGACCAGGCCATAGCAACCCATCTGATTGCTACAAGAACGTTGATAGATTTAACAACCTCACTAGTACAGGGACACTCATCTATCTTTGCAAGAACATGTCTTTAAAATAGCTGCGATAATGCAGTTTGAAATTTTGAATAATTCCAAGTGGTTGAAGCTTTGATGTAATATTTGCCGGCAGAAAACACACTTTGATGTTACTAAACTTTCCTTGTAAATGCTCGGGATGGCATCCAGCATTATCCATTAACAACAAGATGACTATTGCGAGAGAGTCTACGATTCAATTTCGTAAGTCATAGTATCCCCATTCACCCATGCATTCTTCTGACTATAATAATCAACAGGTAAGAGACTTTTGTCAAACCTTTTGAAGCATCTCGGATTTTCTGTTTTTACAAATCACTTTCTTTCCAGCCGCAGTAACAAAAAACGCAACTGTAAATCACTCCTTTACTTTCTTTCCACCCCTCCATGCACTTCCTTTCACCCCAAACCCTCGATCTGGTAACGCTTTCCAGAATAGGCCTGTCTCATCGATGTTGTAGATGTCGTCACTAGCAAAACCGGATAGAAGCTCGGGAAGTCTTTCCTTCCATGAATCAACTGTTGGTCCCTGAACATCGCCTGACTCTCCACGAATTCGCAGATTCTTTATGTTGTACCTCTTTTTCCATTTCTCTAGCCAACCTCTAGACTCTTTAAAGTCAGGCTTTCCAAG